TGTTACTATACATTCCAGTATTTTGGTCTCCACTTATACTTATTACTGAAACCAGCTGAAAGGATCATGCTCACTCCTTTCAAAACACCTTATTCATTTCTAGAACTGAGCTTGTCAACTATGCATAGTTTTTGAGTCCATTTTTATTTTCATTATTCAGAGTCATCTTAATAAATCTCTTGCATATTAAAGCATATGGACCTGTGCAAAGTTCTCTAGTTTGGATTTAAATGGTCAGGTTTAAGTTTACACAAGCATGCAGTAAGAGTTCATGGAGCCCCGGATATTAATTTGCACACAATATTTGACATAATAAGCATACTTTTTATATGCTTTTTTGTTCAACAACGGAACATTTCTAAGCTTTATTAACAACAGAAATTCAAATTGGCTATAATTACCTGAGTAAAATCTTGATGCAGTTTTTTATTCTTACTCTCCAAGTCTAATACCTAAAGAAATTTAAAACAATATTGTGAATATTCCAAAATATAAAATTCACCTAGGTCCTATGGTTAAAACAAATATTACTTTAAATTTTTATGTCAGCTTTTTCTCTGTAAAATCCATAGCTATACATTAAAAAAAAAAAACCAAGTAGCCATGATTCAACAAAATGATTTACCTTATTATTAGATTGTTCTAACTGCAATTTAAATCGATTTGTTTCTTCTTTAGCTTGGTTTGTTAGTTTGTCTTTATCATCTACCATCATTTCAGCTTTATCTAAATCACTTTGTAATTTGTGTAGTTTATTATTACATTCTGTTATTTCTTTAGTTTTAGCTTGAATTTGTAATTCTAAATTAGCTGTTCCATTCTTTAAACCTGAAATTTAAAACCAATAAATATACAAAGCTTCAGAGTATTTTATAAATTCTAGAGTTCACAACCTGTTCTAAGTAAAATATGTCAACATTTTTCTCAACACTGTGTATAAATTGTTGATTTTTGGGCAAGTAGTAGATTGTAATCTATTCCATTAAAGATGGTTTTCCTTATTATTTTGAGACAAACTGGTAATTTTCCACATCATTAGAACACCTCTACTTTCAATTCATATAAGTATTAGCATTTTCATTCATGGAAATAAGGGAACCCATCTTTAAGGGAAACGATAGCACATTTTGCGACTAAATCAATGAAATTTAGACAGATCAACATGTTTCTTGCTTTTTAACATTTGTCAAAACTTACTAAATACTAAGAGGAATAAAAATCAAAAAAGAACATTCTCTCAGCAAAATGAACTGACTGTGACATGCCCCAAAAGAACCTAGCCTACATAAGAACCCCGATCAATTCACATACCACTTGTACAAATTACCCTTTGAACCCTGAGTGTTAATGAAATAAAACATCATATACCTTGAACTTCAAGTAATATCATATAAGCATATAAAGCATATAACATTAAGGTTATGTTCCGTCAAATAGTAAACTGGCTGATAGAGTTGAAACTATTAAAAAAGACATTACCTTCATTTTCTTTCTTGAATCTTTCTATAAGTTTCTCCATTTTTTCCACTTGCATTCCTGTCATACCACGATTTTCTTGTAGTTCTTTACCCATCTGTTGGACTTGTTTATCACTAGCAGTAGATTTATTCTCTAGTCTTAACGTCAAACTTTCTTTTTCTCTTTTCAGAGCTTCTACTTCTTTCAACAATTTGTCAACTTGATTATTCTGGGTAGCTGTTACCCCTTTATTAAATTCCAGTTCTCGATCAATTTGTTGAACTTTATTCTCATTAGCCGTATTTCTATTTTCTAATTTCAAAGTTAAACTCTCTTTCTCTTTTTTCAAGCTGTCTAATTCAGTTATTAATTTTGATGTATCAGTACCAGCCTACAAACCAAAAGCAAAGATCAAAAATCCATTCTATAAGCCTTATTCTCGCCTCGGTTTTGAGACAATGAAAGCGGGGTTCATAATGAAATTACGTCATCCATTGATTAGATGGCAATGTCATTTAATGAACACCAGATAGATCAATAGCTAAAAATTGGCTTAAAACTGCTCTTTCTCAGAAATGTGTGATGGTAAACTTCATCTAAAAGTATCATTAAATAGCTTAATCCACTCCCATTTTAATGAAGTGTAATATAACTAGTATTGAGTTACTAAGCCTGGAGAACGAGGCTTGAAAGACATTCAGGTGGCAATTTTAATGCATTGACACTGTGTTATCCTTAGCCAAATGAATCTTTTTTATGGGACTGTAAACTTCATTATCTTTCTTGTGCAAACTTTGAAGTATTCTTGTCACCAATTCTGTTGCTTCATCATTAAAAATTCAAAACTTACTCTAGACTGAAGTAATTTTAATTCACTTTCCAAACTTTTATATTCTTCTGTAACTTTTTCATTCTGCTTGGTCAATTCAGCTATCTTAGCTTTCAAGGTACTGCATTCTGTTGCTGTGAAAAAGGACCAAAGGTATAAATTTCAAATTTAAGTTCATCATTAATTCATTATGTTAATTCCTGCCAAAACTAGTTATTTTTGTCCACTGAAAGCAACATTTTAATTGAATTTTAAGGAACACTTTTCTTATGTTACAATACATGCATAGCATTGGTATACAATCTTGTATAAAAATTGAAGAAGAACTGTATGCTGGAAACTTATTTTGAAAAGTAATAGCAGAAATGAAGATCTCTTAGCTGTTGAAGCAAATTCTACAAATATCCTTACGTGTGTGAATAATTAATGCGAAGCTATCAGACTGTCTACTGCTTTATTGTGCATGGGGGTTTACCTGTAGGACTTGTGCTTGAACCAGTATAAATGCTGTTATTAGATCCCTTCTCAATTTCTCCTTGTAATTTCTTAACCTCATTCTCTAACACTTTAACACGATCAGTTTGACTGTCTATCTGAGATTTTTGATGATTACTGTACTCCTGTAACCTAGATTGGTCACCAGTGGCTTTTTCTAGCTTTTTCAGAGCTTCTGAATGTTCGTGCTGTTCATGTTCTAATTCAGACTTCAATTGAGAACACTAAAATAGAGTCAATATTCTGTTATAGATTATTCACATTCATACCATAAATTGAGACAAATTACTGTAAGCTGATTAGTCCGTCAGGTAATGCTACAAGACAGTTCTGAGAACAAAACCATCATTACTATTTATATGAAGTAGTGGTCAGTGATATTCATATGTAATAATTAACTAAAGAATAATATTACTCTTTACACTAGTTTGAAAACTCAGGGGCCATCAGAATAAAAAATAGACCAAAAACCTATTTGTTAAGTCTAGTGTCATAGTAAGCTTACAAGAATATTTAAGTATGCTCTTCCGAAATTTTGTCTACTATTTCAAATACCGGTACTTAAAAATGAATAATTTTTATTACCTTGGCGATTTCATTGTCCACTGATGTTTTAGTATGAGCTAGTTGACCAGTTAGACATGAAATGTGATTGTCTTTAGTTTGTAATTCTTGAGATAACTTCACTCTCTTCTTCTCTATTTCAGATATATCTTTTTCTAACACTTGATAATCATGTTTTAATGTAGAATATTGAGACTTTTCTTCTTCTAATTTCCTTTTCTGTACTGATAGGTTCTACAAGTAAAATTTACTAATTAAGACTCACTATTCAAATTAGATCAAATGAACATATAAGCTTATGTTGTGCTTATATGAACTTAGTCCTCATCCAAACAACAACACCGACACCTTGTAAAGGCAACAAAATTAATATAACACATCATTTGCACATTCATTGATCAAACCAGTTTTGAATATTTGTTCAACAAGTTTTTTTTTCTGGAAATTATTGAACAAACAAGATAAGCTATTGGCCCTCTTGATCTGAGGTCTAAAATACCTCCTAATTTGTGAATGCCTTCAGATAGCTCAGTGCAGTTCTCAACAGCACATAGATTACGCTTATTATAGCCCTATACTTTACCTGCTCTAAACTTTCAAACTGAAATTGCTTTTGATCTTTTTCCCTCTTTAACCTTTCTAATTGAGATTCCAACTGACCAATTTTCTGAAGAGCTTTGGCTGGTAAACCGTCCTTCCATTCTTCAGCTGCCCAACTCATCTTTAGTCCCTTGACCTGAGAATGATAAGATTAAGCTTAAAGTTAAAGTTAAGGCCTAAGACACAGGATAATTGCACTAAGCTTATATGAAGAGTGACACATTTCATATTGATTGACAGCTTCACCTAATTTAGATTTCAAGTTGAAGTTTGAATTAATCTCAAATCATGAAAGGCCTAAGCTAAAACATGTTAGATCTAATTTAATAAGTGTTAAACCTACCCAAATTATAACTTTAAGTCTATACTAGAATAGGTCATGCACTTCCCTCTCAAATGAAAATGACCAAATTGAATCTAAGCTCAACTCAACATGCGCTAAGCCACTAATAGTCGCACTTTGCAATCCTGTTTGATTATTATGTTGATAAAAAGCTTACTGCTTCATCGGAACAAATTGTTATGCAAGTGTTAGCTACACGGTGAGAAATTTGAGAGGGTTTTTAGAGTTACTGTTAGAATGTAACTTACTTTAAGAGTATATATATTTTTAACAATTTATATCGTCATTATTTCAAAAAAACCTTCTAAAACTCAAATCAAATCGAATCTTTCAAACCGCCATTCTTCTGCGCGTGCGCATGGTTACATGTAGTGGTTGTCGTAAGAAACAAACATAAACAAAGAAGTTTGAAACATATTTCAAAAGAGTGAAGGACGAATCTTTTAAATTTGTAATCAAGATGACATTATCCTTACTAAAGAGAATTCGCAATGTCTTCCAAAAAAAATAAATGAAAAATATGGTAATTTTGCGACATCAGATAAAACGTAAGAATACATACCTATTAATGGCTGCTTATACGTTTCGTAGAAGTGTTGCAAGAAGTAAACTGTAATTTTTACCATAAACGCACCGTATTCAAAGAAATTATCCCTTTTCTTCCATACATAAGGATCTGTTTGGTGAATAGTAAATGTGTAGATTTAAAACATGGCTGACGAGGAAGATCTAAATCCGCAACAGACAGAAAAGTTGATCCAGTTTCAGGATTTGACGGGAATGGAAAATATTGAAAGATGCAGAGAAATTTTACAGAGACATTCTTGGAATTTAGAGACTGCTGTACAAGATACATTCAATGAAAGAGAAGGTGCCCCAACTGTTTTTAATCAACCTACTCCAGAACCAAGGGTTCCTGCATTAAATCTGCAACCTAGAGGACAAAGAGTCTTCACAGTTGGAAGACAACCACCTCAAGGAATAATGCAATGGGGATATTTTATAATATTGTTTCCATTTCGTTTTGTATACAGTACTTTCTATGATATATTATTATTTGTGTATAGATTATTACGTCCAGATCCACGTAGAAATGTGACAGATCCAATTGGTGATGTTGTGCGATTCATAGAAAAGTTCAACCAAACATACGGACCTACACACCCTGTATTCTATCAAGGAACATATAGTCAAGCGCTAACTGATGCTAAGAAAGAATTGAAGTTTTTGTTAGTCTATTTACATGGAGATAATCATCAAGATACAGATACCTTCTGCAGAAGCACATTATGTAACACAGATGTTATTGAATTCTTAAATTCAAGATTGTTATTCTGGTCCTGTAATACCAATAGTCCTGAAGGTTATAGAGTTTCTCAAGCATTAAGAGAAAATACCTACCCTTTTCTAGCTTTAATAGTTTTACGTGAAAGCAAAATGTCAGTGGTTGCTCGAATAGAAGGACCCATTGGTCCAGAAGAACTTGTACAAAGATTAGAAAGAGTCATGTCAGACAATGAAACCTCTTTAGCCGTAGCAAGGGCAGATAGAGAAGAAAGAAGCTTTAACCAGACATTAAGACAACAACAAGATGAGGCATATTTAGAATCCTTAAGAGCTGATCAAGAGAAAGAGCGTAAAAAACGTGAAGAGAGGGAACAACTTGAAAGACAGGAAATGGAGGAATTAGAAGCGAATAATGAAAGATTGCGTTCCTTAGAGGAAAAGGACCGCCGTAAAGAGGAAATGAGAAGTCAATTACCCAATGAACCAGATGATGATTCTAATTCAATACGACTTCTGTTAAAAACTCCCAGTGGCAAACGTATAGAACGCAAATTTCACAAGTCAGATTCCATGAAGCATTTACATGATTATGTTTTTTGTCATGAAGAATGTCCTGATGATTTCCAAATAGTCACTAACTTTCCACGAAGGACATTACCCTGTGCCCCTAGTGAAAATAATCCTAACCCTCCTTCATTTGAAGAGTTCGGATTAGGAAAGACAGAAATGTTATTTGTTCATGATAATGAGGCCTAGCTTGTGAAGTTGACTGGTAAAACTGACCTACAATTTTAAGTTTGAAAGAAAATTGAGTATGATATGCAATTGCTTTAAGACCAGTGTAAATGTACTTGGATATTGTTTATCCCAATTTAGAAATTTCTCATGAATTTCTGAGATAGGTCTATAGAAATGTAACAGTTGGAAAATGTGTGATGTTGTCTTAATCAATTGAGGTGGTGATGGGCCTGAAATATGTTCTGTCGAAGTCCTACAGCATATTTTTTGTTTCAACATACAGTTTTGATTTGACTGAAATCTACAAGAGTATATAACATATTATTTATTTTGACACTATCAATCATTTTGTCGTATAAGTTTAAGTTATAATAGCTGTAACAGATTTAGTTGTCTAATTATTTGATTTCAGAAAAGAAATACTAACTTTTAGTTTTCTGTCGATGAAAGAAATAGATGTTATATAGCCATAAACATAGTAATAATCATTAAAGGGACAGGTTTGCAACATGCTTGACGAACCATGCCTCAGTCTCCAAAACAGGAATTTTAGCTAAGCTAATCAGTTATAGAGTTCCAATCTATTCTCACCATTGAAATTTGAACCTTCAAATCCATGTGTGAAAGTTAAAATGAGGAGTCTGAAGCACTACCATAAACGATATGCCTAGTTGAAGAAATCATTTTGTCGTATAAGTTTAAGTTATAATAGCTGTAACAGATTTAGTTGTCTAATTATTTGATTTCAGAAAAGAAATACTAACTTTTAGTTTTCTGTTGATGAAAGAAATAGATGTTATATAGCCATAAACATAGTAATAATCATTAAAGGGACAGGTTTGCAACATGCTTGACGAACCATGCCTCAGTCTCCAAAACAGGAATTTTAGCTAAGCTAATCAGTTATAGAGTTCCAATCTATTCTCACCATTGAAATTTGAACCTTCAAATCCATGTGTGAAAGTTAAAATGAGGAGTCTGAAGCACTACCATAAACGATATGCCTAGTTGAAGAAATTATGCAATTTCTAAGATACTAAATGGGTATGATTATTTTTTTGATCAGAAGCTGGTGCCTTTGGAAAATTTGTAGACATGTAGTACATCTGTGACTATTTACATATATTCAAGGCCCAAATAAAAAAAAACTTGAAAATGGGGAAACTGTCCCTTTAACTGTCTGCAGTCATGTGACCAATTACCTTTGTTGACAGTTGACCAGAATTTTAACAAATAAGTGACTTTATTGTTGCTATGATTTTTAAGAAGTATGGTTTAATCTCAATTAAAATCATGTTTGCTGTTTAAAGCCGAATTTCCTGGATGGTGGGTTATCTGTATTCCACACAGTCCATTTCTTAACAGTGTAAAAAGTAAGGGCTTCAGCTCTTGGAGTGAAGACCTTTCAAGTGGAGGTACTTGGCTAATGCCCTTTGCCCAGTTTTGACCATTTGTGGTGATTTGCATGTATAACATGCAGGATTTTTGTACCAGAAAAAGGTAACTAAATCTGTGATAAACCTGGTCATGCACAAATTATTTTGATAAAGGATTTCCCTTTTTATCAATTTTGAACATGATTCTGACGAAGGATGCACAAATAAATACAATTTGTTTTGATGGCACAATATTGGTAAACTTGGATTGCATGTCAATGTATTTTTTAATATAAATGTCTTCATATTGTTTTATATGCCCACATGAAATCTAGACCACATATTGGCGTCACCATCTCTACTGGTTGGTCCATCCACAATTAATTTGTTTATCAAAGATGAACCCTATTATTGAAAATCAAAAAAATTAAAAAATATTTTATAATATGAGACTTTGTCCTATATTCAAATTTAGCTCATAAACACTCTAAAAGGCACAATTCTTGCCAGAGTTTGACAAAACTTGATAATATTGTTCATTATCACCCCAAAAGATAGATCAAAAGATGTTTATGACTGATTTTTACATTGTTACTGTACTGCCAAATATTCTTTTTAAAATCACAGCTGCCAGTGGGTGTATATTACCTTGCCTGGCAAGCTATCTTATTTCATTTCTGTGTTTCATTACAAGATTTGTGTTTTCTTTGCTTACCATATGACTCTGACAAAGTTATGAGAGAACTTGGGGTGAAAAATTTGCAGAATCCGTTATATTTCTACTGCATTTATTAATCCCAAATCGTACTATCCTTTGATATCAAATCAAACAATTGGTTGTAAGAGTTTTGATTAATTAAAATGATGAGCCATTTTTAAATTGTTTTATCTGAGGGGAAATATATTAATTAATGCTTAAACGGTTACTGATTTTCACAATCCGGAATTCCCAATTTCGATTACCAACAAGCGTATAAGTCCCTAGGCCCCCCGACCCCTCACCGTTATCAAACTAGGTATGCATGAATATTAATGAGACCGAATTTGGCAATGAAGCACAAACAATTAATGGGAGGTCTTCTCGATAGCTTGCACTCATTAGCACACAACCCAGTTCAAATAAATCAAACATTGCCTACTCGATTACAGATGACTTCGCTTTAAATATAACACTGGATGACTGGACGCATTATCAAGGTCCGGTAGTCCGCCTATGCAGTCCTGTTGCACTGGTTGGGGGTAAGACCAAAACTTTGACAGTCTGCCCCTTGAAAATTATCAGAGATATCAAGCTGAAATTTGGACTGAAGGTCCACACCTATCTGAAGTTGTTGTGTTTCAATTTCAGGTTCGCACCGTGATAACTCTGCCAGTAACAGCACTTTTAGTCTCAGACTTTTTCCCAGAAGCAAAATATAATTAGTTTTCTTCTTGAAAACCAGGGTGGAAGTTGAAAGTCGATTTTCTCTAAAGTTTTCAAAAAATACAAAGTTCTGTTTTCGACTGAAATAGATAGGAGACATGTTAAGCTATCGTTTGCAAAAAAAAATTATACCTCTCGGGTCAAAATTGGCGAAGTTATGGCCATTTTACTCCGCCACACGTCAGTACGTCAGTAAACACGTCAGACCCGTCAGTATATACGTCAAACACGTCAGTAAACACGCCAGACACGTCAATACGTCGATGATATTTCTGGACACGCAATTTTGACGGTGAACGCTTCGTTTCTGAGACAGGTATGATTGGTCAGAAAAAAAAATGGAGCAGCTATCGCTATAACCTGCATATACGTACTTACATTCAACATAGTTAAAGAGGCGTGTTGCATATCTATAGTAAGTAAGGGTTTTCAACATGGGCGTAATTACTCTCAAGGGGGTAATTTTAAAAATCTTGGAGATAATGAAATGAAATGACATGAAATGAGTTTTACGTCCTACTTTTCTGCACCGTGTGAGCTAATGAAGACGGGTAACGCCAGACCAGTGGCATTAGCCTGCTCTTTTTCCACTTCCAACTGTGGAGGGTTCTTTAACGTGCTCAGCGTGTAGCACACGGGGCCTCGGTTTATTGTCCGAACGACTAGACGATTTTTCCATGTCAGTCTGACTGAACCCTGGACTCTCAAGTTAACGAGCTCCCTGAGAATGATAAGGCTCTGTGTCATAATTTTGGCAAGTATAATTTAGTGATCTATTCAGTCAGAAAGAGGTAATTAAAGAGAAAAAACGGTTACAAAACCCTCATGTAGAGAAAACCTTTTGTATTTTTAAATTAAAAAGCCTTATGGGATTCCCAATATTAATTTCCAATTTGTGTTGAGAAGATGTTCAACGGGGTGCTCTATCACTGCATTGTGCGGAAACCATATCTTTGGCCAAGCTTCAACTCCCTCCCGAACTGGGGCGTAGTTGGAAGAGGGAATGAGGGGCGAATTGAGAAAGGGGAAAAACGAAAAGGGACGAAAAAGGGGAGGGGGTGGACTGGCAGGGACAAAATGGGACTAGATTGTGGGTGAATTGGGGAGGGGCGATATGGGGATTACTACCATCTCTCATCCGGCCATGGTTCACATCCAGACCGGAGCCTCGAACTTTTAAATTTGATCTCATTTATTTGAAATTGGCCGCGACAGAGTAGCAGTGTGCGCTCAATTTTGATATAATTATATTCATTTCAACATTTAATCCTGATTAAATTTCCTACCCTCTCACAATTAGATTATTAACTAGAATGCACCTACGTACTGAAAATCGGAAATTGGACTTTTTGTTGTTTAAATTTATAAGCAAAACCACATATTTATTTTTATACGTTTACAGAAATGGCAAAATCTGTAATACAAAGACTAACAAGCATGTACAACTTGCAATCAAATCCCATAGCTGCTTTTCTTTCACTGATTCAAAAATAAAAAAAAATTGTTGGTGAGCGGCAATGGAATAAGTTTTGTAACCAGCAATCCTTTGTATATAAATATATTATGGGATTTCTATGCTTTGGAACGCCAATTATATAATGCACGAACTATTTTCATCGATAATCATCAAGGATTTACACATGTTAGGCGGCGAAAGTAAAGTAAACCATTAACTGTACGCATGACACTCACAGTAAGTACGCTACTATTTTCCCCTTCAAAATGTAAGGTTTCAACTTTTATCTAAAATTCATGGTATTTATTTTATTTCTATTACTAAAAAATATAAATAGTGTTTCGATTGTTGTTTCACCTGAATATTTCAGGAAAGTAGCATTTGGCTAATCAAGCTCAACTGTTACAGATGGCGCTGCATTGTTTTTCTGAAAATATTAATGAATCGATTGAAATTTCATTTATTTCATTACAAGATTAGATGTACAGGGATAATAAAATTAAGTGAATAATTCTCCTAAAGGCCTAGATATGATAAGTAAGAAATTTATAGTTATTTTTATTTGTTGAGCTTCCTCAGATGGGTTGATTCAATAAGAATCAATGATGATTACAACTTTAAGTTTAAATACAACACCTGTACAGTGGCACTGTACTAAACTTGTTGACAGCTTTGATTTTTTGTCGCATTCGGCCTAGTTATTGCTACTTTGTTCATACATTCGAAGATCCAGGTAGATAGATATAGGTATAGGCCTAACTGAAAAATATGATTTGATTTTATGTTAGTTTACATTGAATAGCACACTTCCCTTTCAGAAATTTTTACCTGAAATGTCACAATTTTGGCTGAAATTAATTCATAGTAGGACTAATATTAATAATAATTGTGTGCTCATATGACAGTCAGACGACGAAATAATTGGCAAGTTCAGGTGACATCTGCAATTGCATGGTTTTATAAATAGGCTTGTATGATATCCATACAATGTCTACTTCCAGAATTTTTCTAATCGTTTAAAGCAAGGTCAAATTCATTTCCAGATTTAAAAAATGGAGCTTTCAGTAATTATGGTACCAAATACCAAAAACTATTCCATGTCACCAGAAAATGTCCACAATAGGGTTCATAAATAGCCTACTCATACTTTTAAAAAAACTCGTAAATCATTGATCTTTGAAAGAATTTTCATTAGTTATTATGAATTGATATTGAAAAAAAAATATTGTAGAAAAGATTATTATACCACTGGGTATCACTACAACATGATGATCTCGATTTATTTAAGCTTATTATCAAACTATATCAATAAACACACATGACATAGTCAGTAGCCATTGCCAAGGTGTTTGCTTAAAAATTTGGGTCAAGGCAAGGCTTCATTGAAGCAAAAAACAAACCAACACAACAATTTTATTGAATATCTGAAGAAACAAGACAATTTGACCAAATTCAGAAATGAATCCTTTTGTCCATGAATATACATTGCTATACAATATTTATACTGATTTTTTAAACAAACATTCATTCAATTTTCGAGGTATTATTTTGAAGCTTATATTCCAATTTTTTTCAAAACTAGATCTAATCATTGAAATTTAATTTACTGATGAATGTGTAAAGACTACAGGCAGATAACAATATGGCCTTTCTTTGAATGTGACTTGAAAATTGAAAGCAAAGAATAGTGTAAAAAATTTCTTATTAAGTTAGATTAATTCATTATATTTTTCTTACAGATATGAAGGAAAAGATAAACTAATTTAAGTCATGTATGGTCAGTATGAAGATGGTATACAGAAAGATGATAATCCTACAAGATTGGTATTCAACCATCAAAGGCAACTTTCTCTTCAACCTTCCTTACCTCTAGACCTTTCAATACCAACAGAATATAAACACTCAACATCATCTAGAAGTGATGTCTTTCATAATGGAAATGCTTTTCCACACCAAAATTATCCAGGATTACTGGAACGACAACTTCATAGTGAAATCCAGGCTAGTTCCAGATTAACTGAAGAAAATCATTACAATGGTGGTAGAGGTTTTCCTATTGGCGACAGTCCTGAAAATAGTTCTCCTATTCAGAGATCAGAATATTTTTCTCCAGATAAAGAATTTCAAAGATTAAACTCAGCAACTGGATCAGTATTTGTGGGTAACAGAATGACTTTCAGTGAATCAGAAATATTCTCATCAAAATATGGGGCACCCTTGAATTCCCCTTGTTTTCTTGGTACTGCTCAAAACCAATCTGATCACGTTTTGAATCCAGGAACTGGTAGTTTTCATGTCAACAGGGAAAGTAAGCCTTCTTATTTTAATACAGGAAGTACTTCATCTGTTTTTAGACAGAATGCAGATCTGATTAGAAAAATAAAAAGAGTGTCAAGCTCAACTCCAGGAATTCCAGAACTGACTAAAGAAAAATATTCCAGCATACAGCAGTTAGAGTCACCTCCCTTTACATCATTCGCTCTTCAATCACATACAGAAGGTGCATCTGCTGCATATGATATACCTCTAAAAACGTTTTCTCCTCAAGTGTCTAGCAGCTATGAAAAAAGGAATCTGGAAATGAAAAGGAGGTGTGAAAATGACACTTCACAAAATTCAAGTTTGTATTCTGACTGTGTTCAGGTTCATAAAGAAACGGACCATGGTATAAACTCTGTATTTGATACCAATCTATCATTTCTAACTCAAATTCAGCATCCACCTTCACCAGATCCAAGTTTAACAGAAAGTTCAGGAAAAAGCTCAGGAAGCTGTGATAGCAACTTTGGTATTAAAGAATTGCTCATGCTGCCTTCCACCTATAGTGACCTTTCATCGTTTCAAAAGAAATACTTTCCAACCAATGATTATGCCGAAAATAAGCATATCAATGTTCGTATTAATCACTATTGTAATAAATCACAGAGTCCTAAAATCAAAACTGAAGCGAAAGACTTTGAGGTATCCTCTTCATGTAAGGAAGCCTCTAGTTGTAATCAAGAATCAAACATTCAGAACAGTACAAATTCATTGTCAGAAACAAATTCTAACCCAACTGGTTCTGCAGTTAAACTGGAAAAGTGTTCTAATGTGAGCTTTGAAAAGAATACTGGTGTATGTGATGTATGTGGTGACAAGGCCGCAGGGTTTTATTGTGGAGCATTTGTTTGTGAAGCCTGTAAGGTTAGTAGACTTATGGCTTTGTTTTTATGACTATTTTGGTGTCCAAGAGTTTGAAATGTATTGAGCTCAGATGTATCATTTGGTATTAATTTTTTCGACTTAAAAGATATGTTAGAATGTACCATCAATTCTATTTTTCAAAAATTTTCTCAGACACTGTATTGCGCTTTCACAGAGCTACAGCATGTTTAAATGTTGAAAATAGAAAGTTGTCCCCTATTTGCACTAACAGTCTCAGAAGTTTGAAATGTTATTATTCAAAAAACATAATTCAGTCTAAGCGTAAGAAATTGGTGATAAAGTATCTGTTTGAATTGGTGAAGTGTGCTTATTGAAACTATTTGAATATGTAAATTTTTTCAGAAATTTTTTATAAGGGCAGCTAAGCAGGGGGAAGTGAAATATAAATGTTTAAGAGATGGGAATTGTACTATAACAAAAGTGAATAGAATACAATGTCAATTCTGTAGATATCAAAAATGTGTTGCGTTAAATATGTTTTGTCCAGGTAAGCATAATGTATTTAATATCTATTTTACAGGAGAGAATATATCATACATAAATCACATGATTAAACATACATTATACACAGTCTCACATTCATAATATTTATCAAATTATTGTGGGACTTTGCTTTCGAAATGTCCAATGTCAATTTTCTTCGGGTTTCATTTTTACAATCTACCTGTAATTTCTGACCTGATAGCACTTGAAATATTACGAAATTCGAAAATTCGTCGCTCACTTTTTTCAATCAAATTTTTCAATTTTTTTGCAACTTTTTTGCTTTTGCATCAATTGATCTGACATTTAATATGCAAAGGGGCATCACTAAAGTAAATAATATGTACTTGTCAAATATTTAACTTTACTTTCGGTTTTAAACGGGGAATCAATTGAAAGTACAATCCACTTCCGGTCGAATAACTTCCGGTGTAATTGAAATAGGTCAACGAAATTTATGCTGATCGTAAGTAAATGCTAATACAAAAAAACGAAGAATATAAAATCACATGAAACTGGGTATTCTTATAAGCCCGAGTGGACTTACATTTATCATACAATTTGATGAAACTTGGATATGGATGTAAGCTTATTTAACCTTATAGTACCATGAGATCTTTAATTAAGTTTGAATTCGATGCTTTTTTCAGGAATATTTTAATAGATGAAACTTGGTATGTTTGAGGTTGATGCGATCTCAGACATGTTCAGAGTCGACAATTTTTGATGAATATTGTTAAAAATATTTTTCTTAACACTCAACACTTTTAGCACAAAATCCAATTTGGTTGAAACTTGATATGCTTTTGTACATTGATGAGATTTTTATGACCAGTCCAAACTTGATGATATTTTGATTTTTGGTCTTAGAGTTATTGCCCTTGACTTGTGAAAACACATCAAAATCAGCCTGTGAACACAAGAGGCTTGAATTTCCATCCAATTTGAATGAAACTGGACATGATTATAGCGATTATAAGATGTGGAAGTGATTGAAAGTGAAAGATTTTGCTGTTTTGTACCAATTTGTTTACTGCTGCCATTGGCATATGTTACTTTGTCTTGCAATCAATAATCTGATGATTTTGTTGATATTATGTATAGGTAATGATAATCAAAATAAAGAGAAAGTAAATTCCAGTATAGCTTGTCAAGTTTGCGGAGCACAGTCATCTGGTTTCCATTTTGGAGCCTTAACATGTGAAGGATGTAAGGTAAGCAATCAGGGTTTTTTCGTAAGAAAGTTAATAAAAACTCTTTGAATATTGTTAAAGGGACAGGTTCTCCATTTTCTGGGGTTGAAGAAAGGATGACTCCCCTATTTGACGAATATTTCTGAACATGCATTATATTATATTTGAACTTGAAAGCTCCAATTTTAACGGTGAGCTGTGAACACTATTGCCTTAGCTAAAAAAAAATGATGCCTCTGTCCCTTTAAAGAAGGGATTATTTATATCCAAAAACATCTTCAACTCAAGAAAAGACAAGTCTTCTTTTTAATGTGGATAATTATTTCAACACTGAGCTGTGAACATTATTATTGATTAGCAATAACATGCTGAAAAATATCTAAAATCTAATTACCAGTAATATTGAGAACTGTAATTTAATGCATTTTCATAATAGCTCTGATAATTCGCCATTTCAAGGTATTGATTTGGTTTTGATTAAATAGTCTTGAGAAGTACTAGAAATGTATGGTAATCGCATTATTCCTTTAAAACATCTCAAACTAGGATTTTTACTCACTACTTCTGTATATTATATCTTCTGAAGAAAAGACAAATCTATTTTTAAATGTGCATAATTCTCGACAGATTTGGATTTGAAGGCTTACATTTTGACGGTGAGCTGTGAACACTATTACTGATTAGCTAAAAAATGGATGGCAAATCTGTCCCTTTACAAACCATTAAGTTTTATCATATAAAAATTCCGACATAGCAAAATTTTCTCTGAAGTTAGTTATCAAAATAAATTTCATACATATTTCTTTGACAAATTAATCATTTATATTCCCTATTTTTGTTTCAGGGATTTTTTCGTAGAATGGCAAAAGAAAGAAGTTCTAATAGTTACATTTGTTCCAAAGGAAATATGTGTTTAGTTAGTATTTCTACAAGAAATAGTTGTAAAGCTTGCAGATATCAGAAATGTATCTTAGTAGGGATGTCACTTTATTGTGAGTATTTTTTAAAAAAGAAGGAAATTAAAGATGGGTTCCCTTATTTTCATTTATAAAAATTCTAATACTTATATGAATAGAAAGTATAGGTGTTTAATGACTTGGAAAAATATCAGTTTTTCTCACATGCGCATAATTAATTCATAATTAGCTAAATAAGAGAATTACCAGCGTTCTGCAGCATATCAGGATAATGAATAAATGCCATAGTTTGCCGGAACTATGTCAATATTATCATCTGATCACTTGATTCTGGCAATTTAAATATCAGAGGCTGGTCATTCAGGACTACGAGTATTTGTAGACAAAGACAAAAAACAAAACCTTCATAGGATTTGGATCCTAAATGATAATGAAATGTATTATTTGTAAACCGAGTCTCAATAAAAAAAAATTTTTATAATTTTTTGTTGGAATTATTCCCTCTATAAGTTAGGAACAAAATTCAGATTGCAATTTTTCTATCTCTTGACAAATAATAGTGAAGAGTAAAATAAGAGTCTCACTAAGGAAGACGCAACAGAATTGGACATTAATTAGGTTACCGAACTACTTTTATTAGAAGGTTTCTAAAAAATTTACTATACATTATAACATGTTCTTTTTAGGTAGTCGAATTGGAAGGCAACCTAATGCCGTCAAGCATGCTTTATCATTAGCTGTTCAAAAACAGAGAGTTTCACCCATTTCATCCTCTCCATGTTCTTTATCATTGTCACCATCAACAGCATCTTCATCATCAACAATGTCACCATCATCATCAACATTGTCAACATCAATGTCAACACCAATAGTATCAACACCATCAACAACAGTATCATCAACTACCTCTCCATCATTATGTCTAGCTACTCGAAAAGAGAAGTGGATTGACAATATAATGAGTTTGACTACAAGTGAACTGATAAATAAAATAAAAGAAGCTGGAGAAGCATTGAAACCAATTAACACTGTGGTATGTTATTACTTATTACTAAGTACATTATCTACTAGTCTATCACTTTCATTTTGCTTTTTTCATGGGTTACATTGAAATACCCTTCAGGACAAGAGTGTGCATGCAGTGTGTAATAAGGGTAATTTTGCCAGTACAGCTACTAAAGCCTACCCTTTTGAACTACCTATTTCTAACTGTTGAGGTAGCTTTGAGGACTTGGGTTTATTGTTCCATCCAAAGGCCTAAATTCTTTTCCATGTCAGCCCATCCAACTTGCATCACTGACAAGGGGAAACTTGATAGAAAAACGCTAAAATAATTATACTGACTCCAGGATTTAACCCTTAACCATCGGAGCTAATGTGGCTCTTGTCATATGTGGTGGACAAAACCATTATATAGTAGAATATTTGATTAATAAATGGTCAATATGATTATATATTCTTCAGTGAACTTACCTGGTGTCATAAAGTTACAACAGAATCGCTGTAAAGTCTAGAAAATTGTTAAATTCATAAAACTAAGTAATTATTGAAAAATGCTTAATCTTGATATTAAGCTTTTTTCAATAGCTAATTGCATATTAATGGATAATTACTAAGTTTTTTCGATTTATCAGATTATATAAGGATCCTGTTATGTTATTTATGACACCAGGTATATCTACTGGCTCTTATTGGCTAAGTTTAAAATTCTTAAATTTTATGTTAATTCTAAGACGTAGTATTACTTTCAGAATGTCTACTGAGGTTATCAAAAGTGATAATGAGTAATTTGAGTTTATTATTTTAATAATCAAGGGAGGTTTTGATAGAAGTGAATATGTTGGAAAGATAACTGATTATAAGATCATGTGGAAAGTACTAATGGAGATGTTTATATCTCATTCTAAATGTGTGATTAATTTTTCAAAGAAATTACCAGGTATTTCTTTTTTCTACATATAATTTCTCAGTTTTCACAAAACAAAATCATCAAGGTAGACATGATGTAAATCCAATAGCCATCTTGGATCAGTCAAATTTGCATGTTATGAATTGGATGTAGAGACCTTATTCACACTGAAAGCGAAGTTCATTATAACATTACACATCTATTGATAAGATGATGAGGTCAAATGAATGAATGTGATGTCCCTGAATACCCGATCAATTGCTAAAAATTGGCTTAAAAGCTTTCTCATAAATCTGTGATGGTAAGCTTCATCTGAAAGTATCATTAAATAGCTTAATCCACTCCCATTTTAGTAATGTAAAATATGATTAGTTTTGAGATACTAGGATTGGAGAAGGAGGCTTAAAAGGCGCCCAATTGGCAATTTTACTGCAGTGACACTGTGTTACCTTCGTTTGTTTGCGTTATGAGCTTCGTTCTGGATTCAATATGGCGGTCGATTGAAAATGGTCTATGGTAATACATATAACTTATGATATCATAGTATATGAATTCTTAAACAATACTAGCTATTCCATAAATGCCAAGTCATCACTAATACCTGCATAGAAAAAATTTAACTGCCTGAATTGAATTGTTGACAAACCAAATTCTGGAGATTTGACCTTTATGACATTTTGCAGGTTTGCGTTACCTAGATATTAAAACACAAGTACTATTAATACAGTTATCATGTTATACTGTAATTCTACTGCAATTATCATTAAACTATGATGTCAACTCAAAAGAAGTCAATTTCTTCAACCTAAGTAAAGAAGAAATGAAAGCAGTATTGGAATTTTTCCCCAATTTTGAACCAGTGAGAAGTCATTTGCACCATGTGGGAACTATGGTTCAGGCTTTATCATTAGATTTCACAGAGACTTGTCTTATATCAGCTTTACTTATTCTTCATGAAGGTAAACTTTTTTCTTTTCTTGCCAATACAAAAAAACTTTATCTTTTAAGATAAAGTGTTATATATTTGTTTGTAAACCAGATAATGCGATGTGTATCGTGACCCTAATATTGTGATAGGTTACATATCGTGACATGAATGTCCAAACCACGCCCCCATTCGCAATACTTCCTCAAGGCCATGGTAACAGAAGTGGGAAAAACTAAGTATTCATAGATAAATATTGTCCAATCAAAATTGGCCCTACTATAACTGTAGCAAATTTTAAACAAAACGAAAGCAGCGTGCCATTACATATTTTGATTAATATGTACGGTTAATTGAGTAAGATTTTCGGTGTAGAATTGAAAATTTGGAATATTTACTTGGAAAGAATGTCTTCTGATCTCTTCAAACGGCAGAGCTATGTTGTGTTCATATGACCTAATTTTCGTTCTACAGATCTGATTGATCAGATTCTAATATAGCCAATCTTATTTCCTCGCCCACAAACAGAAGTATAGTGGGCTTATTTTAATACAGTTTGATAAGAACGTGACCAATACCACTCATTTTATTTATATTTTAGATAATACCAAACTTTATGAAAGAGAAACACTTAGTCAGATGCAAGACAAGATATCAGAGTGCTTGAGAACTTATGAGGAAGGTTAGTGCTATCATTATTTGAATAAAACAGTGATGGTCGTTGGTTCTAATCTCAGTCAACCAATGAAAATTGGTGATCTTAAATATGACATCTGTCTTGTTATTCAAGTCAGCTCAGCTGTAAATGACTTTCGATAATCATCATGAAATTAATGCCAAAGTTTGCACAAAGATGTGTCGATAGACAGGATTCTCAAGAACCTTTGTATTGAAACATCAAAATGTGACTACACCTTAAGGTGTAGGCAAACAGATGGTCTTGGTCAGAGACTTTTGTCGCCAATTAGACTCTTGTCTTGAGTTTCAATGACTGACACGGGCACACAAGGAGACAAAAATCTCCAGTCGGTCGTTTTCTACCTTGTCGATAATCACGTGCGTAGCATGCAATTTAAAGGAAAAGGAATCTGATTGGATGATGACTGTCTTGCAGACGATAAAACTAAACTTGTTTGATATTATAAATCCTGTCGTTGACACGATAATCTTGCCGTAGAAGCTCAGGGACACTCGAGATTTTAGTCAAGATTTTAGTTGGAGACAAACATCTTGGACCAAGACCATTTGTGTGCACGCACCTTTAGTATAGACTTTCCAGCTTTTCTAAGTCATAACTTCTTGCTGACAGCTATTTTGGAGTTATATTGGTAAGTATACCTTCATTGATTTTTGCGGTTTATATTTTCAGAATCATATGATAATGGTACAATAAGATATGGTGTATTATTGTTAAGGTTAGGAGAGTTCTCATTAGCTAGTCTACAATATGGACAAGCTATAGTTGGTCTAGAAACATTATATCCAGACTTAGAATATCCTCAGTTATTTACAGAAATGATGATCCATTGATGGTCTAGATTTACAGAAATGATGATCCATTGATGGTTTACGTTTACAGAAATGATGATCCATTGATGGTCTAGATTCACAGAAATGATGATCCACTGATGGTCTAGACTTACAGAAATGATGATCCATTGATGGTCTAGATTTACAGAAATGATGATCCATTGATGGTTTAAGTTTAGAGAAATGATGATCCATTGATGGTCTAGATTTACAGAAATGATGATCCATTGATGGTCTGGATTTACAAAAATGATGATCATTGATGGTCTAGATTACAGAAATGATGATCCATTGATGGTCTAGATTTACAGAAATGATGATCCATTGATGGTCTGGATTTACAGAAATGATGATATGTTAATGTTTTAAATTTACAAAATGATGATGTGTTAATGTTTTAAATTTACAAAATGATGATGTGTTAATGTTTTAAATTTACAAAATGATGATGTGTTAATGGTCTAAATTTCCAAAATGATGATGTGTTAATGGTCTAAATTTACAAAATGATGATTTATTAATGGTTTGAATTTACTAAATGATGATCTGTTAATGGTCTAAATTTACAGAAATGATTATCCATTGATGGTGAACCAGTAACATTGGACTGTGTAATATATTTACACTATCATAACATGGTTTTCATGATACATGTGAAATATAACCCAAATATTTGACTGCCAAATGATATTTGATTTTTAAAGGTTGATGACAAAGATCCCTTAAAGAGATTTTCTAAATTATTTATGTGTATCAGGGATACTTGTAGGATCAATTTGCACCGTTGCAATTTCAATCAAACTTCTGTGGTTCCTTTAATTTAACTTAAACCAAGCGTATTATGATGTCACTAATTGCGAAGTCCTTATGTGATAAGCATATTTTGCGATTAGTAACATCATTAAATGCTTGGGTCATGTAGAATTGCAAGAATTGATTGAAAATTGGAATGGTGCAAATTGATGCTGTCAGTGTCTCTGATACACATAAAAAATTTAGAAAACTCTTTACAATCTCTTTAAGAGTTTATTTTTTTATATATGTGTTTAAGGTTAGTGTGTGGTGATAAGACTGTGATAATATAGATAAAAAAGCAGTTTGCAAAAAAATTATTTAGCTCTTGTGTTGCCTTCAGTTACCTGATTGAAATGATATGAAATGAACTAGCTCAGTACAAAACATCAAAACGCTATGAAAAGTGTTCAGAGCGTCTTGCATGAATGGTAAATTTTATCTGAAAAAAAAAGATCTTGATGTGTATTGCTCTTAGATATAGAAGATAAAAGTTTTTGATTACCAGTAGATAGAAAGGTTAAAAAGAAGGAAGTCTATCCAAACTAGGTGTCTTATTTATTGTTATTTATTGTTAAGAATTTTATTATGATATTTATGTATCACTGTTATCTGTTATTTCTGTATTTAAAATACATATTAATATATGCCAGTATGAGGACACTCGAAATGTCTGTGGTATGTTAATCTTGAATTGCAGGAGAACCGCAATTCAGATTGAATTCTGACAAGTGTTACTGATATATGAAATTGAACTATAGCAGCAAATATCTAGACAAGGTATACAGTATGTGTAGGGCAACATTGAATTGTTGTTTTGTATATGTAAGAGTTTATTATTGTTAATTATTGTTTTTTGATATTAACGTAATTTTACTAATTTATTCTATATTTCCACTTGTTATTGTTTTTATTGTAGGATATATTTCTCTGATCTCCGTAAAGTTACTTTTCTATTCAAGCTGTATTTACTGTATTTTGTGTGCATCAAACTTTATAGTATATTTGTGAGGATTGCATTAACATTTTGGAATTTAAAACTAATCCTAATTTTTGTTGATGCACTAATTGAATTAATCTAACAGGTAAGAATGAGCTAACTATGTGAGATTCAAAAGGTTTTTTTTAAGACTGGTCATGAAGATAACTTGGGCTGGGCGATATACAATTATCACAATAAATACTGGTATAGGGATTTATATTGTTAATAATATCACCTGATTAAATATCGTCATATTGTGATATATGATAGTTATCATGTTATATCATCATATTGTGATATATGATAGTTATCATGTTATATCATCATATTATTGTCCAAATAAGACCATTTACACAATTTTATCAAGTAACTTAGTGTTTAAAACAGATTTTTTGATATTCAGAGTGTTTTTAGAGATATTTATTGTTGTTTCTAACATATAAAATATAAGCATTTTGTATCAAAAACCAGTAAAAACCATACTTTAGTAATATCAGGATATATACCCATATCAGGATATTGTGATATCAACTTGAATCACAGTTCTATGCTTGAAAGAATATTGGCCAGTCCTAAAGATACCTGCAGATTACATTGCCTAATATGCTGTCACTGGTTAAGCTTACTTTTATGAATTTATCTGATTATTTATCTACCCCATTATTATTGAAATCATTGTTTCTAGAAGTTACCATTCACAGTCTTTTCATTTACCCCATACGTAAATTTATGGATTGACAGACCAACGAAAATTTAGTCCAGGGAGCATTAAATATTTTTACAGTGTTTTGAACATTATTTAGAGTATTTTGAACATAACAGATGAAATTTCAGGCAGCAATATATAGAGATCATTTTTTCATTAATTTATTGCATCTTATGAGATATAGAATGAACTCATAGTTATCATATGTTCACATGACAGCTGTCTGATTTTTAAAGTAGAATGAAAAAATCTAGAGCCCAAATTTATTTTTTTATTGTAGACCAAAATTTAGAGATGGGTGCTCTTACTTTTTCTGAAAATTTTACCTTAAAGTGTCTTACAGTATTTTAAAAATGTTAAAAAAATTTGTAAGATTTATGTGAACTTTCTAAAGTTGTTGTTTTTGTTTGGTGTAGGGCTAACCCATGGATAAAAACTAAATTTCAGCCACCTGTAACACTTTTAAGAATTGAATTAATTTTATCTAAAGGATGCTGCTTTAACCAAGTATAGTTTTCCACTTGATATTTATATTGTCAATGCAGAAATTTCCAATGTAATTGAATTTTCTTTGTGAAAAGAGTTACAGATAGCTGAAATTAAGCTCTATCTAAAAGATTTTTTGTATATAAGCCTTGAGGGTGTAAGATGTTGTCAATCTTTTATACATTTAAGATAATGTGATTTTTTGTTTGATGAAATCGTGTATTTGTGCCTTTACAACATTATTCATCTGTAGCATTTTTAGTCTGTTTTGATATTACGTTTGGTAATTTTTGTATGAAATATTTACAATATTCTTTAATAGAAAACTGCCTTCTTCCAAACCATTTCCATTTAAAGGGATTTGTATGCCATTTTGGGGGGTTAATTTGAATTTTGGGTATATGTAAATAGTCTTCAGAAGTACAATAAATGTACTAAAATCATATACTTCCTTCAAAAATATCTCAAACTATGATTTTCTTTTCCTATTTCTATAGATATCTTTTCTATATATGGTAGTTTCTCAAGAAAAAGATGACTCGTCTTTTGAACTTTCTGTGAACACTATTTTTTCAAAAAGACTTTAAGGAGGTACCTCTGTGATTCAAATAAATCAACATTTTCTGTATTATGTGTTATAAATTAAATTCAAAGTTTACATAGCAAGGGTTATTAAATCTTATGAAAATAAAAATACTTGCAAATTTGCTTTTTATACGCCCCTATGGAAATGTGGACGTATATTTTCATCGTCTCAGTGCATCCTTCATTCCGTCCGTCCGTCCATTCACATTTATTGTTAACATGATGAGATCTGTCAAGTTCGAATTTAGCTCGTTTTTAGTGAATGGTTTTTGAGTTATTGCCCTTGAATTGAGATGAGTGTGTTGATTCAATGTTTTTGGCTTATTGCTATTGATTTTAAAAGATTTGTGGAAAAAGTCAGCATAACTGACTGTAAATTCAGGGTTTTTGAACTACAAATGCATTATGAGTAATTTCAATAAGAGAAAATTTTGTATTATTATTAAGATGTTTAATATATTTTTGGTCAATAAAGATTTACCTTTCATTTCTGACAGCTGCCAGTTGGTGTATGTTACATTGCCTGACAATCTATCTTTTCTCATGCCAAAAAGTCTAGAAATGTAAAGAATTGAAATGCAGACTTGGATGTTTCTGAACGGAATCAAAAAAAAATGAAATGAATGGAGTTTTAAGTCCTACTTTTCTGCACCATGTGGGCTAATGAAAACGGGCAACGCCATGCAGGGTGTGATGAGGGAAATTTTGTTAGGACAGCGGCATTAACCTGCTATTTTTGGAATTCCAACTGTCGAGGGATCTTTAACGTGCACAGCTTGTAGCACACGGGGCCTCCGAACGTCCGAACGACTAGATGCTTTTTTCTTTGTCAGCCTCTCTTACCAGCATCACTGACAGGGGGAAACTGGGTTGAAAAATCCGAAGGTATTATTTCGACCTACGCCTGGATTGAACCCTGGAACTTCAGATCAGTGAGCAAGCGTCTAACTCACTGAGCCACCGCGGCTCCCTTGAACCAAATCTAAGGCTACCATTAGACCGTTTAATCTTCAGTGCTAACTTTAAAACGAAGTTAAATCTATGTAGAATGTTAATTTTAAACATTAAAGTCTTAAGTGCATTAAAAACAAATAAATCTTTAATTTCAACACTTTGATCTTATGCATATAAACATACATTTCGAATTATAGTTCTACATTTTACAGAACGGACCAAATAACTTTACTTTGGATGAACTTGACATCCTTTTATAATAGAAACCATAATTTGGTAAGAGTTAGTCCTACTTACATTTTATTAGCTTGGTTACGCTATATCATGTCATGACCTTTAACCTTTGGCATAATAACAAAACAGGGTCTGACAGCTGAGAATTTCAGTTTCAAAGAGTGGCATGTGGATTTTCGGATATGGTTCATTGATATGGAAAGCGGATTTTCCTTATGAATCGAAAATTGTGGGACATATTCGTGGTTTCGCTCGCAGATTCTGGCAAGGAAGTGAAGATCATCGAGGAGTTCCAGGAAGGGTACGTAACTCGTATCTAAGAGTAAAATTCCACTGGACACTGATTTCTGAATGGCATTTTTTTGCCATTTCGTAAAAAAAGCAAGAATGGTTTCGGCTGCATGAAAAAAACCTTGGATAGTTGTATATTTGCACGTATTTCCCTCTCGCTCTTGAAATGACCCAGATTTTGACATGACGAAATACTACTTTTGATTACCAGTCAGCCAACTCGTCTACATGTCAACTCGTCTAGAAAACTTTGTTGGATAAATCGTCTACAAAAGACAACTGGTATACATTATATGTCTGAAGAATTTGTATTCAAAAAAAAAATGATTATAAAGCATATCCTTTTACAAATATAATTGATTGAACTATATAAATCTGGCAATTCTAATGTTGTCTGTTCCCTTTTTTTATTACTGAAGTTCATTATCAAAGATATTAATATGATTTATTTTAGCCTGGAAGAGTTGTTACCTTAGTTCCAGATGAAAATGTAAGTTTAATTTCTTCATTTTGAATAAATTACCATCAAAATGTAAACAAGTAAATGTTCATTAAATGAATTGAGAAATGGCATCAAGATATCAGATTTAATAGCGAGAAAAAATGATTACAAAAACATTTTCATTGAGAGCTCAATTCTGCTATCTGTTCATTATGCAGAAAAAAACCTACTGATATCAACATTTCCACGGCAATATTTACTGATTATTACCACCTTTATGATATGCCTACATTAATACGTCCATGTATTAAACCTCCACTGTATTTTGTTTGATTGCAGTAGAGCTAATTTTGAGTCCTTTAGCTGTTCATATTGCCTTTACCAATTTCTTTCCAGGAAAGAGTTTGGGGTGTTGCTTATTATATTAATGAAGCTGACAGAGAGCAAGTCAAAGCCTATTTAGATTTTAGAGAAAAGGATGGTTATGAAAAATACAATGTTCAGTTTATTCCATCTTTAGATAATATGGAACCATTTGAAATCACATTGTACATCGGAAAAGAAGACAACCCCTATTTTCTAGGACCGGCACCACTCAAAGAGATAGCACATCAAATTTTTACCTCCGTTGGACCAAGTGGCAAGAATCTAGAATATTTGTTGAATTTGGCCAAATCTTTAAGGGAGTTGGTTCCTCATGTAGAAGACAATCATTTATTTAGTTTAGAAAAAGAAGTTATCAGTTTATGTCAAAATTCCAATAAGCAACATAGTATATGAGCCTGAATATGTTTGATATCACAGTTGAAAGTGGGACTATTTAAACTAAGATCTTTGATATAGGGCACTAAACTGATACCTCATAATAGCATTTTGCTTTGTTTCAATTCTACTGGGTTTACAGAAGATCCCTGCTTTAGCAATGTGTAATTTGGACAGTCTGCATTCTCTGTCTAAAGCTAGACATGCTAAAGTAGATCAAACTGTATTGAAGCAACGATATTAAAAAGGATAAACATGTAAAATGGCATTATTAGAATTGAAGTGTTGTAGATATCAAATTTTATTATATATAGAATAATATTTTTATTTTTTTATTTATATATTTATCAGCAATTTATCCATTGCCAAAATGAAGAATTCTTTACGCAGAGATTTTTATTGATTATCATTTTAATTCCTCTTGTTTATACATGGTGTTTTTGTAATATTTATTATTAAAGAGATCAGTAACATTTTATAGAATATTCTAATATGTACATATTTATCAGCAATTTATTCGTAGCTAAAATGAAGAAGTCTTTAATGAAGATCTATAAACAAAATAAAGATTCTCTTAACCCATCTTATATAAAGTTTTTGTTATTTAATTGTTATAATGAGCAGGATCTGAATTATTTGTCGGTTTTTATAATTATTTTGTGCTATTCAAAGTTGCTTTGCTGACTTTTCTGTTTCTTATGTTATTCATATTTATATTATTTCATAATTCTTTAGTTATAAAGTTGTTAGATTATCTCCCTTTTATTGGAATAAGGTTGTGCTAAATATTTATGTGTTTGTTACTATACTGTGTATTGCAATTAAAAATGAAATGAAATGGAGTATTTTTCATCTTAAAAGCCTGATTTTGATAATGTACCAGGACATTTTGCCAGGACAGCTGCATTAGTCTTTTTTGATTCCAAATCATACTCTGTAGCCATGTGTCCAAACCAAGCCCCCATTCGTCATACTTCTTCGAGGTTAATAAGACCATGTCAAAGCCCGTATTCGTGATAGCATACATGATCTTATTTGTTGTCCCATCTGAGGTCATGTCATCCCCTTAAACCTGCATATCGAACTGGTGGGTACAGTGTTGAATTACCCTTCCATCTGACTGATCCCTTGGGTAAGGTTCCTAGCTTCCTTGTGCAAAAGTAATTCAGAAGCTGAGAAGTATGATTGGTACAGCAGACTGTTTGTCAGCATTATTTATGCTTACCTAAGGCTCAATTGCTTTAAAGTGTTTCCATCAAATGCTACCTTTTGAACCATTCCCTACTATCCAATTGAAATTGATCCACAAAGAGATATTAATTAAGGCTGCTGTATTGTTATAAGATTTGAACGACCTATAGAAGCGAGGAGCACAGGAGACTATATCTGATGACCACACATGTATATTGTGTTGAAACATTCTGTGCCTAACCTTTTTAAAGAAATGTGTTATATTCCATAATATTGTCTTGTGTTTTGTTATATGTGCTTTTGAATGTCACTAGAAATTGATGTCTTTCAGTGATGCAATTTGTATAGCCTACTCACTGTCCATTTATATAGTAAATCAGAAATATACTGTTGATATAGATTAATTTATCAAAAATAGCATACAATAAATACAGAACCAAAGATAACCTTAACTATAGCATCATGAATTGAACAATTTAATAAATGGTATAACATGTTTATTGGCTTGTGCAAATAATTCTCTAAAATGACCTGAAACATACAAAAAGAAAACAAGTCAGCAAATCAGTAATATTACTAAATAAAACAACTTGATCCAGCATTTCCCACCTAGACATAATACCTGTCATGTTCCCACATTACCTTATAAGTCATTCCCCTCATGGGTATAACCTCGTCTGTCATTTTCCCACATGAACATTACCTCATCATTCATTTCCCTCATAGACATAATCTCATCTGTCAATTTTCCACATAGTCATAACCTCATCTGTCAATTTTCCACATAGATATAACCTCATCTGTCAATTTTACAACTTACCTGGTAAATGATAGTATCCGTGTGGTGCACCTTTAATAAGAACTGTTGTAGCTGATACACCGGCATCATTTAATTTGTTTCTATAAGCTAAATGGATAATAAAAGTATATAAATATATATGTTGGAAAATATTCCCGCGAAAGAGGCCCCAAGCTACTTTCGTCCACGGGCACCAAGTCATCTGGCCCGAGCCACTGCTTACAGGCCATGTTTGTATGTCTCTGATTTCCCGACGTTTGTGATTCTATAATTTCCACAAAATCCTAAGACACTTACCAAAACCACAGTCTCTGAGCGGATCTAATTGTGCTATGATAATCAACGTTGTGGGTAGAGTACGCTGTTTAAGTTGTAAACCTGGATTATAATCTGGTTTTTTCCTATCTTCTTCACTTTTAAACGCTCTTTCAGTAAACCTGGAAAATTGCAATTGCTTATCATTCTGGTATATCAAGATTTAACCCTATGTTTCACCAAAACATGAGAATAGATGCTAAAGTTTTCTAAGGACTGCAAATAGATTAACAGCTTTACAACATAAATTCCGTATCATCCATAGAAATGATCATATGCCTCTATCTTCAGCAACGTCTTGAAGGAGTAAGGGTTACAGTGACGGGTGAGGTAGAATTGAATGTCTTAGCAAGGGACAATGAGTCTTCGCCCCATCATTCTGCATCAGAGGTCATAACAACAAGATCGGACTCAAGATTACAAAGTACTTAACGTTCATGTAACAGCTTACCAGTCTATGGCGGCTTGGTTTAAACCCGGAGTTGATGCAAATTCTTCAAAAGATGGGAGAGAACAGGCCAGATCCGTCATTGGGTATATCAATATCTGAAATTATGAGGTCAGATCCGTCACTAGGTATATCAGTAACTGAAATTATGAGGTCAGATTCGTCACTAGATATACCAGTATATGAAATTATCAAGTAAGATGCTTCTTTTGGTATAACTGCATCTTCAATAATCAAGCAGTGATTAAATTAAATTAGATATTGTGGGTAGTTTCCTAATCTAATCAAAGAGTTTTAAGTAAGCAGGCTGTGCACAGAACACGTACATGAAGGTCATCTAACCTGATAGTCAATACCTAGGACATCATAACAGACCGTAGCTGCTATTTGACCACCACCACTATCACCCATAACACCTATTTTACTGGTACAAAGAGCACCTGGAAAATGGAATAGGAGAGTAACACTAAACAAGCAGCAAGTTTAAGTTTATATTCATGATTACTGAACCGATATCCCTTGACCACGCCAAGCTTCTGTCATTGAGACCACATCAATAGTGTACTTACGGAATATGACACTGAAATTTATTTTTATGGCGTCTTCGGCAGCCTATATCATCGACCACAGGTGACAGTTCCACAGGCAACTGTCAACGATGGCCCTGAATATTCACACTATAGCCTACCTAGAAGACCTTTATTGAGTTTGATCCATCTTAAGACTGTGTTAGCATCTTGGAAAAAAGCTGGTGCTTTATGTTCAGGTCCCATTCTGTATTCTACATTCACCACGATACATTCTCCATCTCTAAATCAAAGACAAATTTCAAAATGATGTCTTCTGTGCCACGACCATGAAATTAAAGCCTGAGATACTCTTCAAACAGAATCTTATATTCATGTGCGTATTATACTCGACAATATACATTATATAAACAGAGGTGTATTCACTCCATTGATTTGACATAATTTTTGACCGTTTTCTTGATACCAATCACCAACATTTTGTAGCATTTTCAGAATCTTATATTCATGTGCGTATTATACTCGGCAATATACATTATATAAACAATAACACAATTGTGCTCAGTCCAGAACCTACCTTGCTAAAATCTGACATAATGTTTTGACAGTTTTCCTGCTACCAATCACTAATCCACCACCATGAAAATAAACCAGTATTGAAGAGGAGGGAATAAACCCCCTTGGTGTGTAGACGTCTATGGGAATCCCATCTGCAACGATGCAAAATTCTTTTTATAGCATTATTCTTAAAACGGGCTTCACTGACAATTCGTTATGATAAGTGGGTCTTGAGGTATTTTGTTAAAAAGACTGGTAATAAATTATGAAGTGACAATAAAGCTCTCTAGTGTTAAAAATTCATCTCAGGCCATCTAGGGTCCTCTAGCAGCCGTCAGTCTCCCAGCCTCAAGGGCCTCGTCTCGGAGAGAGAGAGACAACTCTCATTTTGTGCCTCACCCTAGTGCATTTTCTAAATACGACCCTGGGCAGCAAAGCTACCGCATGATCATCCTGCAGAAACATCAATCAACTTTGCGACCGAGTTATTTGACATAGTTAGGAATTGGGAATCTATATTCGGATTTATTCATACCAAATGTACCTTTCCCCTCCATTTCAAACAGTAATAACTGTTAAATATCAATTAAACCAGAGTATATTAATCAATGTATTTGTCTATAAAATTGACGATCGCTTGTTGAAACTTACAGTTAGTCAATCAATAATAGTACCAGGTGTGACTTTTATGTACATAGGTAGAAATAATATATTATTAGTCATAAAAATCAATCTAGGTCATCAAAGTCAAATTCGGAAAACAATTTATGTTAAAAAGACATAGGAGATTCGAAGCTGGCCGTGTTTTCTTATCCTGTTAATGGATTATATATGGTCTATTACGTAGAATCTTAAGGTATGTAAAATTGATCTTTCTATTAATCTGTCGATTAAGGATGGTTGTCAAAAAGCAAAATAAAACAGCAAATTCTTTCTTGTTTAAATGTCAAAATCATATCTGAAGTCATCAACAATCTGGTAGTTAGAATTTATCAACTATTTGAAGAATCTATTCACAACCTGGTTGTTCAAACTCATCAACATCCCGATAGTATGAACTCATCAAGAACTTGATAGTCTGAGCTCATGTACAACATGAAAGTCTGAACTTATCAACAACCTGATAGTCTGAACTAATCAACAACCTGATAGTCTGAACTAATCAACAACCTGATAGTCTGAACTTATCAACAACCTGATGGTCTGAACTTATCAACAACCTGATAGTCTGAACTTATCAACAACCTGATAGTCTGAACTTATCAACAACCTGATAGTCTGAACTTATCAACAACCTGATAGTCTGAACTTATCAACAACCTGATGGTCTGAACTTATCAACAACCTGATGGTCTGTACTTATCAACAACCTGATGGTCTGAACTTATCAACAACCTGATGGTCTGAACTTATCAACAACCTGATAGTCTGAACTTATCAACAACCTGATAGTCTGAACTTATCAACAACATGATAGTCTGAACTTATCAACAACCTGATAGTCTGAACTTATCAACAATCTGATAGTCATTAACAAACTGCATTCAGAACCAATGTACTTTGAAAAAAAAATACATACAACAATGTCAACAAATATGTTTATTCACATAAATGTTAAAACCATAATTATATCATATTACAATCAATAATGGGGAGCTATTTTCAATTATTAACGACGCATAACATAACCGAATTCAGTTTCATTATCATTAATCGTCATCGCCTACAACAATGTTTGTTGCATTTCGTAAGCTTGCTACATGGATGGCATAGTGAAAAGGTAGGCGTCGTTCTATGTAATACCATTGACTGCATTATCAAAGAAACAAATAAAACCTTAAGGGATATGGTCGTCTAAATATAGGCCTTATTAGCTCAAGTGGGTCTTTTTAGCATGGAGAACCAGACAGGTACCTAATTTATAATCCTGGAAAGTCATACATGTAGCTTAAAGTGAGCTTAGCTTTCATGAAAAATTTGCACCCACTTCGCATAACATATAGTCAGCACTGTAATCGAGTAACTGTCAATCTTAACTCTTGGTGGGCGTTCGGTTTTGGATTGGCATTTCTATAAGACGTTGCTTACCTTTACTGTAAGGTGAAGGACAAACGTATTGCTTTTCGTTTCCATCAAAATCAATGGTTCCTGCAAATCTCTCTGACCTTTCTTCGGAAACCTGCCGTGCTTCTTCGACAGTTAATTCTACAAGAGGTTTATATCCTTCATCACTTAAAATCTTGAAATAATCCAAAGTTTCTGGGTGTATTTTATATTTTTGGCCTGCCTCCCCCCAACTTGTTATGTCACCCATTTTTTGCTATCAACTTTCTTGATAAAGGTGACCGTAATGAATTTGTTATCAAATGTTGACCTACAACACTATGTTTTATCTTTAAGTTTACAATACTATAATTCATTTATTCAGTTTGTCTTCCAGGTTGAATTTTATGAGGTATGATTCATAACTTTTCCTGGAGAGAAACCCCCGCCTCCCCCAATTCACCCACACCCACACACACACACACACACACACACACCCACCCTCACCTTCATTTGTTTTGATCCCCTATTTCTGTGCACTTGAATGCGAGAACGGCGTAAGCGTATGATATCAGAAGTCAATTTAAAAATGTTTGCTGTTCACTATGGTGCCGACAGAATTTGACAAACTCGGTCGCATAGTGCAATAAGGGGTTTCTGGAGAATGGGCATGTAACTGATTCAATTTGAACAATGTAGTGGCGTGAGATTGGCTTCCGTAAATGTCTAACTTTCGATTCATTAATCCAAGAATTGACCAATTTTTAATTCAATATCTATTGAATAAACTGTATAGCGAATTGTGATCCATTGAATCAATGTAACATATAAAAATGAATACAATATCTTAATATGCAGTGCTTGCACCTATTCAGGGCGAGAATATGTCCTCGAGCGATCTATATGTCAATTAAAAATATTTTTAAAGAATAAACAATGTCATTGAAAGACACATGTAGTTTATATAGAGGACATTTCAATGTCGAATAATAGAGCAAATTGATATAGCTTTTCGAGTTATGTAAAGATTACATACTATTATTATATCTGTATAAGGGTGTAAGTCTGTGTCAATATTGAAAAACTTAATTTGAGCTGGAAAAAAAAGAAAAAAAGAGGTTTTCTGTAAAGAAGGTAAGAAAGTGAAATATTTTGTGTTTGCAGCAGTTCATTCTATTTAGACGCACTAAGCTTACATTGGATTATATTTTTTCTCTTGACCTATTTGTTAATTTGTGGGTGTTGTAAATCTTTATCAAACTTGACCCCGATATATTAGTACAATATAAAACATAAGTTACTCAACCCCCTATCGCTTGACTTTAAAGTATGGTCCGAGATAGCATTCGAGTTTGCTTCAACAGCGATATCGACTGTTTCTTTGATATTCTGGTTTTGGTGCCTTAATTGTTGTCGGTCCTGATTTGTCGTTAGAAACGTGTGGACATGTCCAGTCCAGCTGAATAGCTTAAGTTCCAGCTTGTTGATGGAAACGTCTATATATGTCGTTTAAGTCCCGATTGTCGTTGGATATGCCTCGATATATCTGTCGTTCGGATTATGTGGATGTTCGGAGTATTACCAAAGGCTTTTTATTCCAAATTTTAAATTTTAACGCAGGATAGAAATCTGAAGTAAACTGCAGGCTACTGTCATAAGTTGTATTCCTTGAAAAACAACAGTTTAATATACTCTATCATTGAACCCCTCAAGGTCTTTAAAAGAAGTACACAACAATTAGGATGTCGATCTGGTCGAGTTTAGTCATTTATTTAGATATGTTACAAATTACAACAAATTGAAAGTCACATTTTGCTTAATATTTCACATTAAAAAAAATATTTATACTTTAGTCTGTTAGAAACATGCAAACAAATGGAAATGTAATCATATATAAAAATTTGGATTATAAACTCTTCAACTTTTGTTCACAAAATTGTTGATTTTTCTCCAGTAAGATACGAGTAATTCCGAACAAACTGTGACTCTAAGGTTCCGAATGTGTCGACTGATTGAACCAATTATCAGTAATCAGTGTCAATCAGGTTGAATTGTACCTCAACAGTTGAAAACTAATCGATTGCTTGAAAAATTTTCATCCAGTAGAGAATTTCGTCGGAAAATTTCGGTTTGAGCACTAATCTTATTGGAAGTGTCGTGCCCTGCGTATTTAAAATAATGCGCCTTTTTTTTTAACTAATCAGAAACGGAATTTTTTAGCTAAGCCAATCAGTAATGGTGTTCACAGCTCACCGTCCAAATTGGAGCTTTCAAATCCATTTGTGTCTAGAATTATCCGCATTTGAATGTTAAAATGACGATCATCACCCCAAAATGTCGCATCTGTCCCTTTAAATGTTGTCATTGCATTATCATTTTTTGACTGACATGGTCCAATTTAGACATGGCCGCAGACAGGGTTATTATCTAAAAACAATTATGTATTTTAGATCATTAATCTATCACATTCATTCGGGCTACTGAGCAGATATTTTCTCGAATGCTTAATTATCATTATATACATTTAAATAGGCTAACCTTTGAAGCGTAAAAGTGTGTCAAAGTTGTCAAAAATTCACATATGAGACATAGTGTTCATCGTTGCATCTATGCAAATATAATTTTGTCTGTTAAAGAAGTAAAGTCGCAAATGATTTCTTTATTAAAAAGGTATGTCGTTTTTCAAGTTACAGATATTTTTTGTTTGACCTAAAAAAAATGTATTTCTTGACCTAATTTAAAGGGACTGCTGCGCCATATTGGGGGGTTGATTTGATTCTTGAATATAAATAAATAGTCTTCAGAAGTACTAGAAATGTACGAAAATCGCATAATTCCTTCAAAAATATCACTTTCAGACGCGGATAATAGACACGCATGGATTTGAAGACTCAAATTCTGACGGAGAGCTGTGAACACTATTACTGATAAGCTTAACTAAAAAAATCCCGTTTCTGAGACTAAGGTATGAGTGGTAAAATAACATAGAGCAACTGTCACTTTAAATAAAATTGATAGAAATAAGCACACAAACCTATATTTTTCAATATCGAAGCTCTTTAATATAATAAGTCAAATTATTCTTCATTATTCGAACCTTATTCTCTGGTTGACATGACATGACATTTTATATTTTAATATTGACCTAATCAAGATATCTCATTATATATCTTATTGAAGACTTCATTCTTGGCTCATTGATTATTTTATTCAGGTCTTTGACGTCAAGGCTACGGAACAAAACATGAATAGAACGCATAAAAATCCATAATTAGCGATGAGTAGAAAAAAACGCAGGGTAATACGGAATAGATAATACTGTATTAGAATGGCTAGCGTCCAAATCATGGCATTAATGGGCCAATATTGACCACTAATACTTTGTACATTAGACTGAGTTATTATTAGAGATAGTAATATAACGGTAATCAATAATGAATTTCTTCTTATAAACAATATCATCATTAACATAGGTCATCCCTCACTAAAAGGTAAGAAATTTTCAATGATAAGATCTTATTCACCAGGGAATTTCGCAAGATTTTGAATGTGTTTTGAAATGATGATCGCTATTTTATGATTTTTTTTCCATGGACAGGAATGAAATGCTTGTCTATTTGCTTTTTCAACAAAAAATTTTAATCTGTATGTTTTGAGTTTTATTTTTGTGTGGCTGACTCAAAACGAAATGAAACATTCAAATTGGTATTGTTATCAGATGACAAAAATTTAGTCTAACGGTGTATGTATTGGCAATACTTACCATAGCTTGATATGTAGACTTGAATATTCGGAATATTATATTAAATCTTCATGACAATTGGTTAAAAACGATGTTTGATTTTACAGTATGGGAAAAACCAGTTTTCTCCCTTACAAGGAGTAAGAAATCAAATCAATACGACCATCTTTATTAGTGCAGAAAAGTAGGACGTAAAACTCCATTCATTTCATTTCATTCATCTGTATCTTATTGACATTATTTTTTCTCATTTTTAATGGATGTTATTGGCAAAACGTCATTTTATGTAGTTGACGCATGTTTCGAATACAAAACCGTCATCAGGTAAGGGACTCGGGAGAGTGTAGGGTATGATATTAGAGATTCCAATTGTTTCATGTATAATAAATTCTAAATATGCATGATAACAGTAATAATTGATGACTATGTATGATATGACAGATAAATTAGAACTGTATCTTAGCAACAGCTTTACGTTGTTTCCATAGATACTAGAAATATAATCATATTAACAATGATATTGTTTCTAGTATGATTCTCATTTATTGGAAATAATGAGAGGTTGTCATAAAGGTCGGTCAGATACTGTCTTAAATAAGGATGAAGTGACGTCGTTTGATCAGCTGGTTAGGAGGGGGGGGGGGGGGGCGTTTCTATGAATCATTAGATGTGGGCACCATTAAATTGTCAAGGGGTGCTAACATGTAATCCTTTCCCTAAGCTAAACGGTAAGGAATGTGTAAGGGGTTAGATCTCACCCCCTCCTTTAAAATATACATACAAATTTCGCCGAATTAAAAATTGCACATAGTAAGTTTTTTCATTGAAATTTGTTATGTAGTATAGCTCCTTTAATTCCCTTTAAGTCTATTGTAGTATAAAAACCTTACTCTAAAAGAATAATGTTAAACTTTTCAACATGTTAAAAATGTTTGCTGTATTATTATTTCAGCTTGTACTAGTTCTTATACAGCCTAGTTCTCAGTGTAAAAAGATCTACCTAATGTTTTTAAACAGTTCAAGTTGGCCAGTCAGTCTTCTATGTCGTTTTCTGCCTACAGAATTTCGTTCCCAAGATGTGAAACATGACGTAATCCGGTAAGATAAATTTTTTATTTCCAATATCTGACTCATTCTAATATAGTTGAATCATTCCAGGAAGCGCGTCTGGTGTTTGATTACATTAAGGCACCATTCCACTCACTGATCGTTTGAACAGAATGTCATTGCTATAGATTTATAGACCATTTTATGATACGACTTTCAGACATTTGGAAGCACTGACCAAGACATCAAAGTATTCTTACCCAAGGAGGATTCGAACCCACGGCACCTTATAAATGAATATTTTGTTCAGTGTGTTAATATAAAAAAAATGGTAGATTTATATATTTTTCATGAAACAAAACTTATTTATAAACATGCATTTCTGCAATAAACGCAATTTGTAAACGGCTTAAGGGAAGACATGCCTCATAAACAGTGGATATAACTCAGAAATCTATGCTTTTGGTTTGTCTCCAGCTTTTTGCTATAGCATACTCTGTACTATATTTGATAAAAGTTTTGATTGGGATCTAATTCCGTCAAAATTTAAGTTAGTAAGTACTTATAAAGTAGATATTTTCATATGACTATGCGTTCATTATCGATATGTATTATGTTTATGTATGAAAACACCCATAATTTGTTCTCAATTTATCGAATTTCGTCTTAACGTTATTATTGATTTTGTAGTAAAAAATTATGCAAACTTAGACTAGTAGCGGCAATCTATATAGTTTAATCACGGAGATTCGAACCCTTGGTGCTCGTTCCCCTATTAGTAGATTGTATTCATCATGGTTTTAAACACTCTATTGTAATAAGTGAACTCAATATACGAGTACATCTGTCAATATGTGAGAATGTTGTTATATTGTTTAGAACACACCCACTCTAAGATGTCGGGGTCATGTTTTCTCTAGTAATATTCCTACGCTATTCCACACTTACAATCGTATCTCTACTGAACACTCGGCCTCTGTCGTTACCAACCTTTATTTTGGTTGACCCTAGGGAGTTGTCACTATATCTGTTTCATTAAGACTAACAGTATTGCATGCATATGGAATGAACGGATGGTTTGTTTCTTCCTTTGCCCTCTTGTGAGAGGTTGTAGCTCAGTTGGTTAGAGCGTTTGGAAGTTTGTGACGTCATTTACCCTGTAAGTTTTCGGTGGACATGTGAAAATTTACGGACTTTAAATGACATTTAACAATTGTAATTATGATATATAAATACAGCTTTATTAAACACAATCAGTGGTTAAAATTTTATACAACGTTTCGACGTGTTCTCGGGTTATGGTTGATAGCTTCATGTAGTCTCATGACTATCAGTAAGCATAATAATATAATCTTCAAAAAGTATAAGGTCTCTCAATAGGTAAAGGCGCTTTCCTAATATTAATGTCACTATCCTGTCAAAGTTTACGACATTGCACACCGATGTGTGTCTCATCACCACCGTGCTTATCATCAGAAATGTAAGACCATTTCATTTCCTTTTCTTGCTTGGCATCGAGTACAAAAGACAAGAGGGACAATTGAACCAACCGTCGAGTAAGTTAATGAAAATTGGTCTATTGGTTTGATAGCAGCATTATTGAAATGAAACCACTGACTGTGATATCTATACAGGAAACTATATTGTTATTAAGTTAAAAATGAATGTGAATATATATAAATGTGTTATCTTACGGAGTGAATTTTATGACATTTGAAATAGAATTTGTGAAATAGGATATGGGAATAGAAATTGTGAATTATAAAAATAATACAATGTAGTATTGTCTAGAAATTTGTGTTTGAATTAGATCGACGAATACATGCATAGTAAGTTCTTTCTTTATATAAATCCTATTTTTCCTTCAGAAATTTTATATTCACGTATTGTGAATTTATGAAATAAATTTCTTTCAAAATTTAGTGTATTAGCGTTTTATGAATTGATGAAATAAGTTTTACTTCTACCTGTCTGCTGGTGATTAGGCGAATAGGGACCGGGACACTCCTTGCAGTGTGCAATACAGGCGCTGCCTGGACAGCAGCTTCTAGCAATTAGGTCTTAGATTTATTGTACATCTAAACCTGTATCGATATTTGTCGGTAGAAACCGGACGTATATGTAATGGGTGACGACATTTATTTCACTAAGATGTT